CTCCTGAAATCACTGTTGCACTATATGCTAACTATTTTGGATGTAAATTAAAAAAAAATTAAAAATAAAATTTAAGAAAAATTTCGTAAACTCAACAACATAAATACGTGTGAAGTTATACACCAATATCTGTGGCCCACATACGTTAAATACTGGGGGAAAAAAGTCAGTGGTATGTACCGTTCTTTAAACGTATTAATCTGTAAATACAAACCCTGCACTTCATGTAAATCACGAGGCAATAAACCACACTAAGTGCCTGGTATGTGCCCACAATGAGGGCACGTATTCTCCTTTAGCCCGATATCCAGCACTGTGAGGTGGTGGCGGCATCCTTACTTTTTCTAGAACATCAAACTGGTTCCTACTAATAAAAATGAATCTTGGGGCACCTGGGTGGCTCAGCTGGTTAAGCACCGACTTGATTTCAGCTAGGTCATGATCTCACAGTTCGTGGGTTCGAGCCCCTAATTGGGCTCTATGCTGACAGTGTGGCGCCTACTTGGGATTCTGTCTCTCTGACTCTCCCCCACTCTCTCACACGCATGCACGTGTGCTCTCTCTCTCTCAAAATAAACTTAAAAAAAAAAAAAAGAGTCTTCCAACATCTTAGAATCGATCCCTTTCTACCTTAAATGGCACACCTCTGGAAAGACAAGCTACAAATCTAAGAATCAGAAAAGTCAGTGGCATCTGAGGGATTTTTTAAAAGGCAAAAGAGCCAGGTAGTTAATAAAATAAAAGGTCTCAAACAGTACTTCTGTGGATTAATCAGGCTGAAACTGGCAAGAAGAGAACTCCATGGAGAGCCCCCAACACACTGCCATGTAACAGCTATGGTCCTTTATCCCTGTCTGAATGCCTAGTATTCTCCCACTGATAAGACCATCTTCCCACAATCCACCTGCCAGAGCCACATCCCCAACATCCCAGTCACTTCCCCATGGTGCCCTTGGCACCTTGATGATCCTCTCCCAAGAGGTCACAGAGATACAGTCACGAAAGGAATCAGTGATCTTCAATGTACCTGAAGCATATTAGCCCTACAAAGCTAAACTTCCTATCCTTCCCTAAAACCTATGCCCTAACCTCCACTTCTCAAGTGCTTCCCTGCGCCTGTCCATGCAGGGGCTGGAACAGCTCAGCAAGGCCCTTGGCGCAGGATACCCACTGGCAAAATAAATCAGAAGCACCTCCACCACATGCCAGTAACAGTAATTAGGCCTTCATAACTCCTCTGTACTTGGGAAAAGAAGTTATTTACTACAGGTGGGTCAGGCTCAAAGTTCAGCAGAAGTCCTGACGACTAGGTCCCACTCACCGTTGGAGAGTGCTTGCTGAAGCTCGTTGTCCGATATCACCCCGCTCCTGTCTTTATCAACCCTACAAAATCAAGACCAGTTAAGCTGGTGAATAAAAGAGCAGGACAAGCAAAACATGTCAAGCATAAACACTTCATTCCTCTGCCGAGCCTACGTCAACTCTGGAGGCAGCTAGGACTCTCACTCTCGCATCCGCATGGGAACAAGGTTCTCCCAAAGAGATGGCTCCTTTTGCCTTGTCAAGCCTTTCTCCTTTTCTTTCCCTTGGACAGTCTGAATTCTCTCCTTTTCATAAACAGCAAAAAGACTGCCTCAGACACGTCCTTCCGTGACCATTGGTCACTCATTCACTCTGAAGGGCAACCTGGGGACAGAATATGCTGCAGTGCCGGTCTCCAGCTTCTTTCCCAGCTGCTGGACTGTAACAGCGCTGGAGCAGTCTGTGTTTCTGTTTACCTTAAACAAGCATCCCGAAGACCCTCCCAGAGCAGCAATCCCCTGGGCTGTAGGCTCAGGGGTGG